TTAATTTAATTAAAATAGAAATGAGTGTCAATACTTCATTATATAAACCAAAAGAAAAGAATAAATCTATTACAAAATATGATGAAGTAAAATTAATTAAATCATTTACAAAAAAACATAGATCATTTTGTAATTCAAATAATGCATGTGAAGTATTATTAGCATCAATTGAATCAAGTAAACAATATGAAGATATATATGCAGTATTTAGTGTTAATTCTGTTTCTTTATCAGAATCACTTGGTTCACCATCATTAAGTATTGTATATATTACACCAGAATTTACATCATTTGAAGTATTTTGGAGAATAACATTATTAACTGCTATGTGTTGTTGTACATTATTTTTTATGTATGTTTTAAGAGGTATTCCATTTAAACAATGGTCATTAGAACAAAAATGTACAGTACTTTTTATGATTGCATTAACTATTTCAAATAATGGATTTTATTCATATGAATTTATGAGTGCAAATGAATTATTCCCATCTATTAATGCAATTTGTGATTCAATTATGTTATGTTCATTATTATTATATGTTTTAGTTGTAATGGATGCATTAAGAAAACCTTTAAGTCAACGTACCTTTAAATTCTTCTATTTCCCAAGATTTTTAATTGTTTTATTAATTGGATCATTCTTAGTAAATCTTTATTTGTATAATGCAGAAAATAGTGATCCTGTAATAGTAATGATGAAAGACCCTATTAATGCTACAATGGCAATATTAACAGGATTATTATCACTTATTTATTTATTCTGGTTAATGTTTGCTATTATTCGTTCATTTTCTGAAGCTCGTAAATTAGGTGAAAAAGGACAAAGAATTAAAATGTATGGAACATTTACTATTATTGCTATTTTCATCTTCTTTGTTCTTTTGTTATCAGATTATTTCATTGGATATCGTTCAAATGCTGCTGTTTATTTGACATTGATTGCATATGTTAATATTTATGCTGTTGTTTTAATGATTTTCTATCTTCCATCTACTAAAAATCAAAATGAATGGAATAACCGTAGAAGAGAAATCGTACTTGATGATGTTAAAGTAACACAATATGATGATGATGATAATGAATTGGTTGTTGAAGAAAATAATGAAAAAAATGAAGCAGAAATACTTATTGCAGCTACAAATGAAGAACAAACTGGAGATATTGACTCAAAGAAAATTGAATTATAATTAAATTAATTCATCTTGATGTTATTCTGTCTGGTTTAGTTGTTTTGTTTCTTCTTGGTCATGTGCTAATTCTATAAATGCAATGATATCAATATTTGCTGTATTATAAATACAATCTATAATTTCTTCTCCATTAATCAAAGAAGCACGATCTAATCCTTTTGTATCTAATGAATTTAATTCATTTACAGAAATATCTTTATAATTTCCTTTTGTAACTCTTGTAAAAATTAAATAGTCAGAATTCTTTTCAATTGCCTCTTTGTATGTTCTGTACATATAAATACCCTTTCCTAATTTCCCTTCACTCATTGAAAATCCATTTTTTTCAATGCTTTGCATTTCTTCTGCTGATTTACAAGGGTAATACATAACCATAAGAAATTCATTTATTTTACATCCTACCCCTTCAGGAGTCATTTCTAATTCTCCAACTACCTTCATCATTTGAACATTCTTATGAAATGGAATAAATTCAATCATGTATAGTTGTTTCTTACTTAGTTTGTTTTTTTTAAGTTTTTTTTTGGTTTTTAACTTTATCTTTCTAAGCATTAAAAAAAAGGAAATATTGTATTATGAAATATCAATTAATTGCTTCAAGTTTCCCATCAAACTCTTCAATAGAACTATCTGCTGATGATTTAGATTGACTTTTTTCTGAAAAGTTATCTTTTTTCTCTTCTTCTTGTTTTTTTGTGGTATTGGTATTTCTTTTACTTGTATTTCCTAGCTCACTTTCTAAAGTGGATGATCGAATAGGAACAGCTTGGATTATTGGTTTCATTTTCATCTTATTTTGTTTTTTCTTCTCTTTTCTTTTCTGTTTGTCTTTCTTGTATTGTATTAAGTTGCCTATAGTGGCACAATTACAAATTGAAATACATAAACATGGTGTACATACCACAAGAATAAATACTAATCCACCCAAAAACCATTCGTGTGATGGTTTTATTTTCATATCTCCAATGACTATTTCATTATCAAATGTAGATAACGTTGTTGGTTTTACAATTCCCATAATATTCATAGCAACACCACCAACCCAAACTACACACAATCCTATCATAAAACAAAATGATGTAATTCGGTCTCTAATTAATCCACTAATAATTCCAATAATTCCTACAACAACAAACACCCCTGCAAGTGCCATTTGATAAAATCCTGTAACAGCTCCTAAAATCATTCCATATATCAAACTTCCCATCTATTTGTATTAATTTGACTATTTATTTTATTCTTTTATTAAAGAATATCCAACAAACAATTATAAGGATAGCTGATGGAATCAATAAAAATTTTGGTAAATAACATACTTTCATCTCTTCTTTCTATGTCTTCTTAAACTACTATTTGATAGAAAATAACAAACATTCTCAATTTGTTTTTTTTTTGACTTTTCTTATGCTTGATTTAAAGATTATTGTTTCGTTTTGTTTTGTCTGATAACCAATAACTTCATAATCTCAATTAATTATTCTCATTTACTTGTTAAATGACTTATTAATAACATTAGACCTGCAATATAAAACATCATTCCTGCAATTTTCTTTGGTGTCCACCAACTTTTCATAGACTGATGTGCTTCTTCTAACGCTTTATTTCCTGCAACTAAACAAACTTGTGCTTCTTCTACAGCATCAACAATGTGTTGAGTACTTTCTAGCTGAATAATTGCCATTTCTCCAATCTTTGTATTTAAATCATTGATATTTTCAATTTTTTCAATAATCACTTTATATACATCATCCATTCGATTTTCCGTTTGTTTTAATAATCGTTCTTCTTCTTCATCAATTTCTTCTTTTTCCTCTTCATTGTTTTCCCATGCATTATCAAAATCAACATCTGTTATTTTCTCGCCTTGAACTGGAACAATTTTGTTTAGACTATGTTCTGTTTTTTGTTTTTGAGGTATTTGTTTTTTTTCTGTTATTATTAACTCTGGTTGTTCTTCTTTTGAAGGTGTTTGATCTTCATCACTATCAAAATCATCAAAAATTGATTCGTTCAGCTTGACTGGTGTGTCTTCAACTGTCTGCTCATGTGTAACTGATTTATTATTTCTTTTTTGTTCTTCTATAATTTCTGGTTCATTTATGCTCTCTTCTTGTTTGTCTTTTTTATTATCTTCAACATGTGTCTTTTCATTATTCAATAACTCTGGATGTAACTGGAAGAGTAATTCACTGTTCATATTAAGAATGTTCCAAATCACTTTCATTTGGTTGTTATTTTTCTTTTGAAGTTTCTGAATTTTGTCTTTGAGTTGGTCTATAACAATAGTGTAATGTTTGATATTGAAGACTTTATTTTTGTTATTATTTTCTATGAGTTAAGTCATTAGCATTAATAAGACGTTAGTTGTTTGTGTCGTAAACAAACTGTAAGTTTCAAAAGAAGAAATAATTTTTTCATTCATTTGCTTAGACCATTGTGTAAGTTGTTCTCCAAGTGATTGTTGTTCTGAGAATGTGTTGATATCAACCGACCCTGTTACCATGTCAAGAATTATTTGGTTTTCCATTTCTATTTTCTTGTCAATTTCCATTTCCTATAAATGATGAATATTTATTATTTCTTCTAAAAAATGATAAACAAACAATATTTTTGATAATTTCATTGAAACTATCCTTTGTTTCTTGTTTGTAAATACACTCTTTTTCAAATATAACTTTTAATTCATTTTCATTACTTTCTTTATGTCCTTCTTTAAAACAATCAAATGCCACTTTGTGGAACTCTTTAGTAATATCCATTTCTGTTTTTTTTTTAGATTTTTTAAATAAGTAAAAC